AGAAAAACCTTTTTTATGACATATTTTATTTCTGCTCCCACAAAAGTCGGGCCTACGTGACCGGACCGCATCGAAATTTTTATCCACCGAAGGACTGTCAATTAAACATCACTCCTCAATATTATTTGGTTAATTTTTTCCCATATAATATATGTATAACCGTAATGAAGTATAAATTATTCACTTCATCTCTACTATCGTGATACTCTTTCTCCTAACCTTGGCTTTAGAAACATATATTCTCTTGAGATATATGTATATTCAGATTCTCTCTGTTTTTTTCAAAACTGATAACTGTCTTGTGTAAAGTGGTTTTATCCATAATTAATTTTTTTAATTAGTCAGTACTGAATTAATCAGTATCTAAAAATTTTCACATGTCCTCTCCTCACCAAGAAGCTGCTCATTTGTCGGAGGCGCCGATATCGGACCATTATACATTATACAAACTGGCCAATCAAACTCAAGCCCTTGTATGGAAAACTGTTTTATTTAATCAAGAATCTTCACAAAATTTAGCACAGATTTATATACGAAACATCACCTACAATCTTCGAAGAAATTATTTAGATCGGAAGGAAAAAAGCGTATAGCTGCCATATAAACTGACCGATCAAAATCGATAAAAGATCTTTTTATACACTTTTATGCTATAAATGCTCGTGTGAAGGGTATTAAAGCTGCGGTGCAACCGAAGTTAGCGCTTTTTTGTTTCTTAAATTTTATTTTAAAAAGTTGTTTTGTTTTACTTTTTTTTAATTCCAATTTGACAACACTCAATTTGTCTTATCGATTCCATCTGAATTTGTTGATCTTTGACAAATTATAGTTGCGTTTGTTAATAAGGCATGAATTTAGCAAAGGTTGTCAATTTGCCGCGGACAAGCGTTTAATCATCCAACAGTTTAATACGCTGAAATAATCATCGCATTGGCATATGAGCGCATAGAACTGGTGGCACACACATATGCATATACATATAGATTTATGTATGTATGTATGTATGTATGTATGTATGTATGTGCATTTGCTGGCTGCATAAACCACTTATTGCTGCTAAATGCCTTATCTCAATCAATATCGCGCCGGGGAGAAATAATACCCTGGCTAAACCGATTTTTGTTGCTTTGCTTGATTGCTGCAAACTTGATTAATTTAGACATTTTAATCGGCAATCGGCTGCAACACAAGCAGTATGCAATTGCTTAAAAAAATATATATATATATATATATTTATCAAAGTTTATGTGTGACTGTGTGTAATAATAACGCAACTACTTTAGAATGGTCACACTCTTTGTTCTTGTTTTTGTAATGCAAACAAAAAAATCAAAAATAATTCTTGTGCTGCATAAATTAAGCGCTACACGGCCTTTAGCAGCAACACACATACATGCTTTTTTGTTGTTATTTTTGATTTTAGTTTTTAATTATTTGTGATCGTTTACGGCGCATGCGCATGCGCAGCCCAACCCAGCGCTGCAATGTGACTTTTAAAATTATGCAGCAATTTGCTCGCTCCCTTACAAACGCTGCAGTGCAAAAGGCTACAACAACAACAACAACAATTTACTACAACAAAATATAACATGCATATTATAACGTTCAATATATTTAATCATAACAATGATAATAATATTTTATGCAGATACAAATACAACTAAGTATATATGTGTATACACCTATGTGTATATATGTATGTTTATGTGTTTTAATCAAACACTTAGTTAATCCGGTTCAGCGCGCGCGTTCGAATACCATGCAAATTAAGTGACCAACTCAGGGCCGGGCGAGAATGCCACAATTAAACGATCTAAATCGGCGAGTGTAGTGTGCTGCTTTGGAAACGGTTATTTGCGAATACCGTAATTGCAAGAGTGCACCGACATATGTATATATATATATACACATATACATACACACGTACACACATAAGTGCATTTGCATGTGTTTAGTCAAGGACGTTGTTGCTAAAGTTAAAACAAATCAAGCCAAGCATGCACTCGCGTACTATAATCGCATAATTAGTGAGGTATTCTTTGGTTTTTACGATATTAAAAAAAGTGCTTTCTTGTTCTTGTAGTTTTTGTTTTTAAATATGTTAAATATTTGTAAATAAATTTCAAAACTTTAATTAGTGAAGTGGAGTTTTTCTTTGTGCCACAGATAATAAAAACAAGAAAAAACGTTAATTTCGGTCGCACCGTAGTTATAATACCCTTTTCAAATTCAAAGGTTCCTTACAATAACTTGATTCCGATCTAATTTCGTGAAGATACCACGTCAAATGAAAGAGTTTTCCATACAAGCACTTGATTGCGATCGTTCAGTTAATATGGCAGCTATATGCTATAGTCATCTGATCTATACAATTCCTTCGGATATTACATTGTTTGCTTAGAGAATAACTCATGCCAAATTCCATGAAGATACCTTGTCGAATAAAAAAGTTTCCCATACAAGCACTTAATTTCGATTGGTCAGTTTGTATGGCAGCTGCTTCTTAGTAAGGAAAGGACAGGTACAAAATTTCAGATGTATAGCTTAAAAACTGATGGACTAGTTCGCTAAACATGGCTAAATCAAGTCAGCTCGTCAAGCTGATCATTTATGTATATATTTTATAGGGTTTCCGACGTTTCCTTCTGGGTGTTACAAACTTCGTGGCAAATTTAATATACCCTATTCAGGGTATACATCAATTAAGAAAGAGCTGATTTCGAGTGTAACCGCACATTTCATACTTTTGCAACTTGTAAGGGTCAAAGCCGTGTAAATACGTCACTTAGTTTTATTATTAATATATTTTACCTCTCGTCAGCGAATATTATACTAACAAAATTGGGTGCAGAGAAATGAAAGGGCTGATTGCATTCATTTTTGACATTGCTCAGGTATACTTGAGAATTTATTTTCAAGCAATTTTAAACATAGATACGGAGTAAAATCAGCCGTACGTTTCAAAATTGTGAATATCAGTTATATGTGGGCTAAAGCAAGCTTAGGCCCAATCTGATCTGTTTTAGGCACAAAGATACACTGTTATTAGAAAAACAAGCTCTTAATTTAATTAAAATAACTCCTACATTGGCCAATATACATGTGCACAAAGTCAATTGGAAGTTCGAAAACAGAAGTATTGATCTGATTCAACTCATCTTTGACACAAGGCTATATTATTATCAAAGAAACATCCGAACTTCGAATTTCAATAAAATATCTCAAAGATTGACCCATATTTTCAACAAAAAGTCAGCTACGCACAGGGGTCCACATATTTGGCGTCTGGGTTCTTGAAAAGTTATTGTCCGATTTTGACAATTTTTAAGCATAAGATGAAATATTTGTAGGACACTATTTGTGCAAAGTTTTATCCTGATACATTGATTGGTTCTTGATTTGTGTACTGGAAAGTAAAGTAAAAGTATCAGATGGAATTTAATATTGTGTTATTGTGTATATAGTAAAACCTATCCGATTTCACCCAATTTCACACTTTAATGAAGGATAATATTATATACCGAACTTGGTTGAAATCGGTCCAGTAGGTCTCGAGATATGGATTTTCCTCTCCATGGGGCGGTGCCACGCCCATCGGTCAACTTTGACACCTAATACAAAGCCTTTTTGCACCATATCGGTGTAAAATTTTATATCTCTGAAGCTTTTCGCTATTGATTTATCGTTTTAGAGTTTTAAACAGTACCGTTATGCTGAGGTGGGGCTAAGCTATAATTCGACCTCAAAAGCAGTATTTGTGCAAGGATTTCTCCGAATATATTCATTGGTGCTTGATTTGTGTACTGGAATGTAAAAGAATCATATTGAATTTAAAATTCTTCTATATGCGAAATAGGCGTGGTTGTGGTCTGATTGCGCCAATTTTCACAATATAATATAGGACCGTCAGGCTAATGTTATGTTATGTACCGAAATTTGTTGAAATTGGTCGAGTAGGTCCGGAGATATGCGATTTCACCTAAATGCGATGCCACGCCTATCGTCCAATTTTGACCTCGGCTCTTATAAAGCCTTTTTGTATCATCCTGGTTGTAGTTAAAAATTTAATGGCACATTTAGTTATTGATTTATCGCGTTTTTAGTAGTTTTTAATGGTACCGTTATATGGAGAGGGGCTTGGTTATAATTTCCGATTTCATCTATTTTCACACTTTCGATAGGGGTTTTTATAGAATTGGTTCCTAGCGAATTTGGTTATAGTAGCTTGAGTGGTTTAGGAGATATTTACATTAAAATTGACCGGGTCACGCCCATTTTTTCAAAGACTTTAGCTCACAGGTGCCACTTTTACTCCAATCCCCTGTACCAAATAACACTTTTATTTCTTAATTTAGTGCTTAGTTATCGCATTTTATAGATTTTCGTTTATTAGCGTTTTGTGGGCACGGTAGTGGTCCGATTACGCGCATCTACGAACTCAATCGCAACACGGAACACGTGTGCAAAGTTTCATTACGATAGCTCAATTTTTAGTCAAACTACAGCTTGCACGGACGGACGGACGGGCAGACAGGCATCCTGATTTCAACTCGTTTCGTCATCTTGATCATTTATATATATATATATATAATCCTATATCTAATTCGATTATTTTTAGGTGATTAGAACAACCGTTAAATGAACAGATTATTATCTCTAGCAGCATGTTGCAAGAGTTTAAAAATTTATACATACAAGTATGTATATTGAATAAAAAAATAAATATTTATATTTTTATGTTCAATAATTATAGTAGGATTTCAGATTATTTTTACTTTTTGAAAAAACTTCGCGAATTGCTGAAATTTTCTAAAGTTAAACGAGACTGAAAGGCATCAAATTTAAGAAATTTTGCTAAACATATTAAGCTTTCTAAATTTCAAGTCATGGAATAAGATTTATTTCTTTGAAAATAATTTTCAAAAATATTTTACTTTGACTATTACTTAAAATCTGCAAATTTTCCAAATAGGCGTCAGTTCTTCCAATAAAAATCAAAATCAAATGAGCATTTGACTCCATTCACAAATTTTTTACTTTGTAAATGTTTTTTCTTTCAATTCGTTCTGAACTTTCAAAATTCACTTTCGTCTAACAAAAATGAATTTTTCGAAAATTAGTAGCAAAGTTTCAAATTTTTTGTGTACATATTTTTCTATTGTTCCAAAACTTTCAATTACAAAATCCGCTATGACCGGAAATAAGAGCGAGGAAGCGAACTCGCATTGTGTCGACAGTTCGAATAGCCCCAAATCCAAGGCCACCAATCCGTTCTTCATCTTCCTGCACGAATTTCGGCAAAATCTAATGAAACGCGGCGCCTACAAGCACATGACAGCGAAAGAGATCGCTTGTGCGGCCGGCGAACGCTGGCGTCAGATGTCGTCCGACGAGAAGCTCAACTACGTGGTGTGGGCGCGCAAGAATCAGCAACAGTTGGATCCGCGTTTGCGCGTATCGCCGGGCAAGACACAGCGTGAAGTGCATGGCAATAGAAGTGAGACCAAGTCCGTGCGGCGTCGCGGATCTCGTCGTGGCATCACACGGCAGAAAAAGGTCATTATGCAGAAACGTCGTCCAAGTTATATCAAGTAAACTGGCGGATAGTCGCTCTACAAAGGGTTGAAGGAAGGGCTTACACCGTACACTTTTTATCGCTGGTAAAAATTTCTTTGTGACACATATTATTTTGTTTGTATTTTCTAATTTTCTATGAATTCTCTTATGGTTGTGACAGTAAAAGTATTTTTATAATTGTGATTTAATTGGTTTATTTTTTACATGCTGCGATGTGGTAACCACCTTAGTGAATTTCGCGCTTTTCGGTTCTAAGAGCACTAAAACTGACGAGGAGACGAATATTTTAGCGGCCCAACTAATATTCAAAACTGATTACGCTATTAAAGTACTTTTATAGTCCTTTCTATAAATGATAGATATCCGGGTCTGTTAAATAAAGATCAGTTCGCCTTCCTCCACCCATTTCGGGTAATTTTTGTCACTATCTCGAGAGAATTTGTGACTAATTTCTGTAGATTCTGTTTGTGTTGGCCAGAAATTGGAATCGAATCTAGGACCGAAAATCTAGAAGTATTGAGCTAAAGAGCTGAAATTCTGCAATTATATTACTATTTATATATGCCTCGACGACTTTTATAATGACTATTTTTGGATCAAAACTAAGTCTAATTTTGTTATAAGTATAAAATTTATATTTTTTAGGCCTATGATATTTAAACTTTGAGTTGCAGTACTCAAATTTGCATGCTTACTTTCAAAAATGTCTCGACGAGATTCGAAATGTACAACCTCTAAGGAAAAGTATGCCCAAGCTTGTTGATAAGAACTGATTTTTGTAAAAATAAAGGTACAGTATTGCAATTTGGTAGACGTGATTCTACACACAAATAGTTGGACAAGTTTCAAAAAGAGTAACTTGGGTTATATATTGTATATAATTTCTGTATAACCGTTTGCTAATTTTATATATTGGAAAGTGTAAATATTATCAAGTCTATTCTCATATGCCTCGTGGAATTTCGAAATGAACGATATCGGATAAAAAGTAAGCCCTCTTCTCTTATGTCGTTTTAATGTCTTATGTCATTTAGTTGTTTGGATTAATATTATATAGTGCTGAAACTTGGTGCAAATAATGCTTTCCACAAATGCTGCGACAAGGCAAAGTGAATTAGTTGACTGCTACTTGCACCTACCATGGACAAGTTTATATTTTTATGGACTTGGTATGCCTCAAAATTAAGTTACACCGCCGAAACTTGGTATATTTGCTTCTTTTCTCGAATGCCTCGATAAATTTCAAAATAAGCGGTTTAGGTTAATAACAGCATTAACCTCCCATATAAAACTAAGTTATATTGCTGAAATTCGGTACATATGCTTATTTTTATATATGCCTCGACAAATTGCGAAATTACTAACATCGGCTAAAACTAAGCCCAACTCCCATATAACTGTTTACTATATTATGTGATTGGGACTTTTTAAAATTAAGCTATATTTTTGAAATTGAATCCTCTTTTCACGAATGCGTCGAACAAATTTTAAATGAGCAGCAAGGGAAGAAAACTAAAGCTTATTCCGATATAACGGTTTATTTGTTTGTGTACTGGATTTCTTCATTATAAAGCTATGATGTTGAAATTTGTTATATAATCTTTTACTTACAAATGACTCGACGAATTGTAAAATAAGCTGTATTAGTTGACTAATAACACTTATAACGGTTTATACTATCCTAAAAGGGTACATAAATTATTTGTTTACAGTGTTTAGACATAGAAGTAATTACTGTTGTTATTTATAATTTATTTGAATAAACAACTCAAGTCTGTGCATTAGTCACTTAAAAATTCCGGCAAGCGTCAAAAGTTCCGCGCTAAATTATTTTTTTTGTGTTGGAAAATTAGCTACAACAACAATTTACGAAAAACCCAATCGAAAAATTTGTTTACGAGCGCTGAGAATGTCGGCGCTTTGTTTCTTAATTGCAAATGAAATTTATCATTCAGACGAGGTACACCAATGGCCAGAAACCTTAAATATGAATTACACAATAGCAGCAACAACAACAACAAGCAGCACAAAATAACACAATTCCTTCAATCTTAAATCTCATTAACTTGGCAGAATATTTTCGATTTCGATACATGAAAAATTTTAATACCGAAAAATTCCAACAATTAAACCGTGACTTCAATGCATGTTTACAGCATGGAAAAAAAAACAATAAAACCAACAATAACTTAGTAAGTCGAAAACCAACAAATACATGCAAACACTTGCCACTAAGCCATCTAAGCCTTGCATATGTGTATATATGTGTGTGTATATGGCCAACAAAAGTATTCAGCCAACAATAACAATACCAACAACAATAACACCAACAACACCAACACAAACATTATTTCACTGAAAATACGGCAGAAAATAGATTTACAAAACAAAAACATCATCAGTAACAATACCAACAAAACATGGAAAAATATATATACAACAACAATGGTACAACAACCACACGGCGTGCCAACAAAAAAGACCTTGCTTTCGATTTCAGTCCATAAAACGCTCAATCGCCATATTATAGCCGTTCCATAGACGTAAGCAAAGAAGACGTAAAAAAGGCAAAGTAGACAAAGACGCAGAAGAAGAAGAAACAGAAGAAGCAGAAGAAGAAAAAGAGGTGGCAGAAGGCGCAGTAAAAGAAGTGCATAGCAACAATAGCAAGGTAGCTAAACAAAATTAAAAAAAGTAATAATAATAAATTAATGTTACTACAAATACAATAACAACAACAATACGCCACTAATTTAAATACAACAACATAAGAATGGTATTCGTAGTTAAAACGACTTGATGGGGGGGCGAAGCGCAAGCATGCGCATGCGCAAAAGTCTCGCTTAGACTTGATACATATACAAAGCAAAAGTAGCAACAACAACAAAAAATAATAATAACAATAATAATATTATAAACAACAACAATACTATTAGCAACAATTACTATATAACTAATAATAACCACAACAACAACTACAACTATAATATTAACTAAAACAATAATAAAACAACAATAATAATGAAACAACAACAACAATATTACTAATATTTAATAACAACCAACCAACCGAAATAACAACGACAGTAACGATAATAAAACCAACAACAATAAAAATAACAACAACAACAACAACGAAAAAATCAACGGGAGGTGCTTCGAAGGCAATTCATTTAAAGTCGTAAATAAAATACATACGTTTTTAACTCACTCATTTTCATGTATGTGTGCGTTTAATCGTGCATATGCGCATGTGTGTGTGTGGCTTAGAAGTAAACAGAAGTGGAACAGAAATAGAAAACTGGCTTTAGTCTTGTATCTAACGGATATAATCTACCAAAAGCCAAATGTATATACATACATACATATGTATCTACTTACCAAAATATACATATTTCCACACACATACATATATATGTACATATATACAGTTGTATGTGTAAAGCATTATACATTGTTTGTCCGTATGTGCGCTTTCTTGCCAACAAATCAGCGACTCTAGAGCAGTCAAATGCTGCACACTGGCCAACACATCAGCTGGAGCAACAGAGCGACAGATGGACAAATCAAAAGTCGGCAAGACGAACAGACGGATGGACGAAAAGCGGCGCAGAGATAAGAAGTCAGCGAGCCAGGCGCTGGCTCGGCACAGTGCAATTGCGCAGACCTAAGCGATATGTATTTACATATATACATATTTAATTTATATACATATATACAGGTGTGTATATACATATATACTAGCAAAAGCTTTGCACTGCGCAGACACTTGTGAGCCATTTCGCGAAAGGTGCTTGCTAGCTGCTCGATAAACAAGTACAATAATGCGAAAGACTACATAGATTAATAGCAACAACAATAACAAAACAAGCAACACTTCGAAAAATCGCAAATAATAGCAACAAAAAGAACAAGACCATTAAAAATGAAATTTACGTTCAGTCGCGGCGCACACACGCACACACACACATGCGCAAACATGTTCGTACGTTTATATGTAGATATGCATATATTCTTGAAACCGGCATTCCGGTGTGCGGGGTTCTATTGCTAAACTCGCCCGAGCTCCAGTTGTAGGTTGGCCGAATCGCGTTTGGATCACGCGTTGCTTATGCCAAACATTCTGCATACTTTGCTGTTGTTGTTTCTATTCTTGTTTTTGGCCTTTGCCTGCATGTGCGCAGGCGCACTTACTTTTTTTTATTCGTTTGCCTTTTGGGTGCAAAAAAAAATTTGCGAAATATTTTTATAATCAAAAGTTAAGCGCTTGGTGGTTACATACATACATACGTGTGTGTGTGTGTGTGTGTCTTTCCAAAAAAAAAAGTGTTAATTTCTTTGCATTTTTATATACTATGTATGTACTAGACTAAAGCGTCAATATTTTGAATTTGAATATTTCTTTTAGTTATTGCTTAAATAAGCTTTCGCTTTTTGCGGCCGTTTGTTAGATACTAAGCTAATTGTTTGCTTACTCTGATGTATTTTATTTTTTATTAATTGCTTTTCAAAATTTTTTAGTTTCACTTTCATTGCGTGGAATATTTTCAATTTCTATTCCTATTATTCTAGCATTTTAACGACAAGCTTCCCTTATTCCGATACGTTGCATATTATTACGATGTGCCTCGTTTAATTTTCAGGCTATTTTTATATTAATTTTGCCACGAAGTTTGTAACACCCAGAAGGAAACGTCAGAGACCATATAAAGTATATATATAAATGATCAATCGGAATCAAGTGTTTGTATGGGAAACTCTTTCATTTGACGAGGTATCTTCACGAAATTTGGCACGGATTATTAGTTAAGGCAACAATGTAATCTCCGAAGATCTTATTCAGATCTGATGAGTATTGCATATAGCTGCCATACAAATTGAACGTTCGGAATCAAGTTCTGGTAAGGGGCCTTTGTTTTTGTGAAGGGTATTATAGCTTCGGCGCAACCGAAGTTAACGTTTTTTCTTGTTCTAAAATGTTTTTGTGAAATGAAAATTTAAAAAAAAAATATCAATTCAGAATAGATGATTTAATTATATATATGGTTTAAAAATGTTTTTCGTAGAAGAAACATGCTCCGAAATAACATAACCTAAATATAATTGAATCATATCCAGGAACTTAGCCAAAAAAAAAATTACAAATTAGCTGCCAAGAATATTAATGATGTCTTGATATTTAT